TGCGTGGACAATCTTCTCTCACCTAGCCATTTGGGGCAGCATGATTTCTTGGTTCCTCTTCCTAGCAATCTACCCCGAGGTCTATCCTACTTTACCGCTGGCAGCTGAAATGGTCGGAATGGTGAGTATTTGCATATTTTCCCATAGGATTTGCTTTGCTGTAAAAATGATCGTCTTTTAATTTGTCTGGGTAGATATCGAACAAGAGAGCAGTGAGATTGCTGAAATTTAATACATCCCAGGTTACCAACTCCATGTCCTTTCTTAACCGCAGGGCTAGTTGCTAAAGGCTTAGGGTCGGGGCTAACGGTGCAGCGTAATCAGTGATTTACTACTGTAAACTTATCCACGCGCAAGTCATGGCTACTAACGTTCCACGGAACAGTGATGAATGCGGTTGCTAACGGCAGTTTAACTTTGGACCCCCCTTTTGAAAAGCCATCTGATCTTGCTTTTTTATCCGAAGGAATGAGCTTATTGTTTGATATGGTCGCACTCGTTGATGAGACTTATAAAACGCGCAAACGCCTTGCAAATCGGTGTGTTCCCATGAAGGTACAGGGTCCATCTCTCTCTCTTACTCTCTGGCAGCTGTTCTCTTTTTTCTGATCTGGACTTTGTTGGAGTCAGTACCCAAGAAAATGATAGCTATTGAAGATCTTCTAAAATAAGCCGCCCGTTGGCACGTCGTGAGTGTTCTATATTTACCCACATTCATAGGTATCCTTTGTTTTATGCGGATCTGCGTTAATTACATTAGTACACCAATATTTCGTGGTTTGTTTTTTTTTGTTTTCTTTGGGTTTTGATCTCCTCAACATGTGGATGTTTCACATAACGTGGCTATGCTTTTAAATAACAGATATTGGAGAGGGTTCCAAAATTAGTCCTAGCGGCATCCTTTATCTTCAAATGAGTGGTAAAACTCCCCATAAGTATGTATTTTTACAACCGTAACCACAGCAAGTCTTGCCGTTTTTCTTTTCTCTGTGGCCTACTTTATGACATGCCTGCTGTATATGTGAACACTTTTGAATGGATTGAAATTTTTTTGGTGACAGAACAAGGCTGTCTATGGATGTCCGATCTTTTGGCTGTGCCTCATCCTTGTTCCCCCGTTGACACTGACGATGGACTGCGCAAGCAAAGTGTATGTTTGCCCTCTTTTAACTTCCTAGCAGGGTGAGGGTATGGTCTGTAACCTCACTGGGTTGCTCTTCAGAAACTAACTACTTGTTTTATGTAGATAGATTTGATTTACTGTAGGTTGTTTGGCAGTTTGCCGTAAAACAGATTGCGACTTTAAGATTGGCGGTTTAGATTATGGTTGTAGAGTAGGCTTTAGGGCTTTAGGTTCGCGTTAGATTTTCAAGGTTGTTGGGTTCGCGATCTTTAGGGTCTCAGGTTTGATTTTCATCTTTAGTCGTGATGTTTAAGTTACTGGTTAGGTTTTAAGGTTGGGGTTTGAGGTAGTTTTTTATGTAGGTTTTTAGGATTACGGATAGATGTTGAGGGTTAGAGTAGTCCACCTACAATTTCCCCACTGGAGTTACATACCCTACCCCCGACCCCTGCATATTCAGCTTATTCTTAAACATATAACCCCTCTAGCATATTTCATTGGTGATGTCTGTTCTACAGAGCCTGCTGTTATTTTGCACTGTGCCCTTTTTTCATTTGTCTGACTTAAATCTTTAGATGGAGCCGACCACACTGGGAGGCGATAGCACTGCAAGATATTGGACGGCTTCCCTTTGGCATGAGAAACGCGTAAATGATTTTTTTCCATTTTATTTCTGCCTTCCCTTCTTATTTTTGCTAATATCGTTTTCATCCGATATCGCCTTCCTTGGCTCGATGTACGAATTGAAGCTTTTTCTATAAACAGTCGTTTTAAATTGCTATTACCTAAACTAACGACCGAAAAGTTAGGAAGCCTTCCCAACCTTCCGGCATTCACCTTTACCGAGCAAACTAATTAGCAAAGCATATACAAGCCAGTCCAGTATATTGCGATCTTGACTGATTGTTTTTCTAATGACAGTTCAGTATTTGCATCTCTGTTCGTTTAGTTTGACACTACGCAGTTGGCAAAAGTGTCCAGATCTTTAAGTAACTTACGGTTTACTCGTTTTGTCTTCTTGTGTCCGGAATAATTATACATGAACTGTTGTTCCTAGGATTCCTAAATGTGCGTCCGCTCATCATCGATTTTGTTAACTACTTCTAACTGCAGTCCCGTCATAAGAGGACCGTGTATATTTACGACCTTTTGTTAATTATTTCTCCCATCTAACTCTTAAGCAGTCCAGAATTAGAGTTGATGTTTCCCTTCTAAAAAACACATATCTTTATTCGATTCTTACCGCTGTGTGTTGGAATTACTCTTTTTGTAGACGCATTGTCCTAAGCATGCAAATTCTTCCTACCCTGAAGCTCAGATACAGAAAATGCATTTGATTCTTTTGCACAATCTCTGTCTTTATTTAGTAACAAGGTCCGTTTCTCCCACCTGTTCCGGTTTCATCGTCGTCAACGTCCTGGCTCCAACGAATTGTCTATCGAAGAGCGTCCTAACAGTAAGTATGAATTGTTTTTGTGTTTTCGATGGTACACAATTCTTCGAAGTCCTGCAAACTGATTCTGTTATTGCGTTAGCCTTAAAAGGTGGCCGCCTAGGTTTGTGGCGCGCATTAAGCGAAAGATTATGCCGTGTTAGCTGCCATTTCCGATGTCATTTCCTGCTACACTGCCCTCGAGCCGGCGCCTTCAACTTAAGATGACAGGATGCACCAACCGCCGATGACCTGCACGCAAACTCATTCTTATGACCGAAACTTGAGAACCGTCTAGTCTATCATGTACCCACATCCGCTATGTGCCACTGGCGAAACTAAGCCAAAAATGCTGGTGATGGTCATGCACAGGGTGCTGACGTGGAGGAAGCTTTCGACGCGCGCCACAAGTATGCTGGTCCATAGAAACACGCGAACCAGACTCAAAACTGATTCAGATGTTACCTCGAAGAGTCCAGTGTAACATCGGCTTAGTCCGTACCCACATCCGTACATCATGTACCCACACCGAACCTGTCTGTTTTTGTGTTTTGGTGTCGTTTGACGTGACCTCCTTGTTCACCTCTATTCCACCCGCTCTGGC